GTTATGATTTTGAATTCTTGCTTTCTTTGTTAATCATAAATGTGATTTCCAGCGCAAGGTGTACCAACAACAATTTGAAATATAATTCAGCAAATGAATTCAACATGGGTATGAAATCTGCTAATCAAACTAACCAAGAAACTCAATAATTGAATAAGAACAAACATTCCGAGAAACCCATCTCGTTCACACAAATTTCACACAAAAAAACAAATATATATTCATAAACATTGTAACAGAACAAAACAAAATGGAAGCAACACACACACGCCATTGTGTAAACTAAAATCGAGCAGAAATTCATTCTATATCAAAATACACGATGACAAATCACTACAAATTAATCAGTAACAAGGTTTAGAAATAGACCTCAAACCGCTAGAACCCGGACGGAACTTGAACCGAAAATCGACGACAGTACCTCGACGTACGACTGGAACGGACTCCTTGAATGACGACCTCCGACGAACTCGAAGCTCGCCAGAAAACTCAAACTAAACCAGAAAGACAAAGTCGACGGTCTCCATAACAGTGACTCGCGATTCGGAGTTGTTTCGGGCTATTTCACATTGTTTCGGTGGAGGTTTCGAGCAGTGGAGCGAGGGTACTGAGCTTCACTCTGTTTACTCTGGTGCTGTGATGTGAAGAAGATGACGATGGGTGAGATTAGCTCTCGTTCCTCGTCTCTCATCTATGTTGCTGTCCGTTTTCCCAACCCCTGCTTTCCCTCGTTCCTCTCGTCTCCCTGTAGGTGTGTTTTTTTGTGAATGTCCGCGTTTTGTCCAGAAAAAGAGGATACAGAGCTGCTAGTTCTCTTTTGGGTTCTAGTTAGGTGGAAGACGACCCCCGTATGAGTGTTAGCTGCTGGTGAAGAAGGGTTTCTTAGATGGGATGAGGATCGTGTCTCCTAGGGTGCCGAAAATGAAGGGTCACGATGGTTGGTGTGCTGAATCCAAATGAGTCGATGGTGGGGGAACAAGAAGATGAGATCGTGAAGGGGGGGATCTGCGATGAAGACGATCCGAGGGGGGGGAGGGGTCCTGTTATGCGCAGCTTTCAGCTTTCCCTCCTTCAGTTTCTCTTTGCTTTTTTAAGCATTAATTTATAGGTAGAGTCTAGGTTTAGGTGTATTTTTGTGTATTTTGCCCATTAGTCCCTAGGTCTTTTGTGTTAAGTCTTTAGGGTCTTATTTATTTATTTTTTTATTCCAAAGAAGAGTCTAGAAGGGTCCCTAGGCTTAATGGACTAATCCGAATTGGGCCAAGAATTGGGTTCTAAAACTCTTAAAATTATGATCCAACACCTTAATTGACTCATTTTAAAGTAAGACAAAAATACTACCCCATGCCAAAGCCTAACATGAAACTATTATATATTTTTTATTTTCAAAATTATATAAAGATAAAAATAAGTACTATTTTTGTATATTTTTATTTAAATTTATGAAAGATACGTAAGCTAAAAATATATTTTTTCGTAATTTTTTATTTTTATGACGAAAATAAAGTAAAGAAGTTAAAAATAGCTGAAATAGCTATTTAGGCCTAAATTAAATATTTACATGTTAAAATATAAAAAATCTTGGGGAGGGTAAAAAATCACATGTCTATAAACTGGTGAAGGGATATGGAAGGAAAGGCATCAATCCTAGTGTATGTTAAAAATAGATATGAGGAAGACTTATGATTCAGTGGAATGACCATATATTGAGCAAATCCTTCACTGCCTCCAGTTTCCAGCAAAGTTTATTAGATGGATTATGTGCTGCATTTCAACTGTATACTATTCAATTCTTCTCAATGGAGAGCCACTGCCACCATTTCCAGCTAAGAAAGGACTAAGGCAAGGAGATCCTCTCTCCCCCTTCTTATTTGTGCTTGTCATGGAATATTTCAGCAGAAGTTTGAAGGGTGTCTATGAGGACAAAAGGTTCAAATTTCATCCAAGATGTAAGAAGCTGCAGATTATACAGCTTGGTTTTGTAGATGATCTCTTATTATTCTGCAAAGGTGAATTGGAGTCTGTCAATATGCTGATCTAATGCTTCCAAAAATTCTCACAGGTGTCTGGATTGATTGCCAATGTTGAGAAAAGTTCAGTGTACTTTGGTGGTGTCCACCAGGATATACAACAATTGATTTTACAGACTATTCAATTTGGTAGGGGTGAATTGCCTTTTAGATACTTAGGAATTCCCTTGAGTACAAAAAGGCTGTCTATTATTCAATGCAATCCTCTAATAGATAAGATGCTGGCTAGAATCAAATCATGGACCACTTGATACTTATCATATGCTGGAAGAATCCAGCTTGTGAAATATGTGTTGTACTCTATTCAAGTCTATTGGTCACAAGTGTTTGTACTTCCAAAAAAGGTTGCTCAAATGGTAGAAGCCACCTGCAGAAGCTTTCTGTGGTCTGGAGGAAGCGATTTTAGCAAGAAAGCACTGATTGCATCGGATAGACTATGTCTTCCTAAAACTGTTGGGGGTCTAAATATATTAGACATCTATGTATGGAACTAGGCTGCTATAGGCAAACTGCTATGGAACATATGCAGGAAGAAAGATTGTTTGTGGGTAAAATGGATCCACTCCTACTATACCAAGACAAGGGATGTATGGGATACTAAAACTACTCAAGCTTCATGGATGGTACAGAAGATCATTAAAGCAAAAAAACATGTTTGAACAGATAGGCTTCAATGAAACAGATGTAGCAGCTATGCTTAAGTACTCAATAAAGGACATATATAGAGCATGTCGTAGGGAATTTCAGAAAGTTCCTTGGAGAAGATTGGTATGCAACAATGTTGGGCAACCTAAATGGACTTTCATTTTATTCTTGGCTCTTCACAGAAGACTACAAACTAAGGAGAGGATTGCATGCTGGGCTAATCTAGATGATATGGAATGTGTGTTATGTGAACAGGAGAATGAAGACATCGATCATCTACTGTTTGAGTGTGTATATGCTAAACAGGTGTGGTCAAAGCTTCTAGCCTGGAAAAGTATAAGAAGGGAAGCGTGGAACTGGAAGCATGAAGTGCAATGGGCTATAGAAAATGCTACTAAAAAGACTGCTCAACGGGAGATATATAGGATGACACTAGCTGGTGGAGTTTATCATTTATGGCAGGAAAGGAATGCAAGAATCTTCAAGGCTAAACGAAGGTCTGCAGATCAAGTGATTAAGCAACTGATAAGAGAAATTCATGTTAGAACTCGTAGAGTTAGAAGATTGGATAGATGTACGAAAGATTTGAACTTTTATCCATAGGCAATAGAGTTGTGTAGATGTGATTGTGTAGAGTTGTGCAGTAAGTTTGGGACTTATGTCCAAAATGCTGCTTTCCAGTTTTAGCGATGGTTGTAACTGAAATTTTGATGAAATAAAATGTATAATTACCAAAAAAAAAAATGACATTATAGGATCTTCTACTTTCCCTCGACTGGGCTTCCTTCATCCTGTAATTGTTACTTGAAAATCAAGATGTACTAAAGAGTAATATAGGATTATGAAGGTAGATCTCAGTTTCCCTTCAACGCTTGATATGTATTCTGAAGCTAAGAATTTCCTTAGCCAGGTAAATTGATTATTACTTGTCTATGCTTTAGTTATGTGAGAAGAAACATGGGCATGTAATAATAGTTGCACTCGTTTTTTATGGTTTACCTTTGCCCTTCTTAGCTTCTTGTGAAGAAATCTTCAAAGAGGCTCTCTTTTCAAAAGATCATGGAGCACCCTCAGATAACTAAGGATGCCGATCTTGAGTGGCATGTGAAACTGTAATAATCTCAAAATCCGATTTTTAATCTGAAGTTTTGAAACATAAACTTGCTATTCGAATTTCAACAATCTAACACCTAAATCTATTCCGATAAGCTCAAATTCACTTTCAAATATCATAAATAACAAATCTCAATCATCAATTTGTTAAAACAATAATAAATTTAACAAACTCATTTTGTAACTAAAAAGAAGAAGAAAGCAACATCGAAAAAGAAGAGAAAAATGTATGTATCTGGAGTTACAAAAAACTTGGGTATCAGTTATTTTTTATTATAAAAAAATGGGTACATATTCAATCAATGGTGCAAAACTGGGCACCACATGAAAATTTGCGGACTTCTTGACGTGAATTCGAATTTAATCGAACCCTAATATAGATATCAAACATCGGGTCGAAAACCCTAAAAAGTACTGCTATTTAGAGATTAGCAGTACTTATTTTGTCCTGAAATTTTAAACTAAAAATCTTAACTTCAGGACAATTCAGTACACTTTTATCCCAAAAAATTAAACTAAAAAACTAAAATTCAAAATACACTAGCTAATTGCTAAATATCAGCGATCTAAAATGATTGCTTGGTGTCATTTTTTACAATAAAAACATATCATCCCATGAGAAAACACCATCTCCTACACCTTTCCACGGTTGGCCCTAATATTTTCTTTTGCACTTGGTCCGCTAGGTCCATTGGCTGTAACTCAAAACATGGCATTTATTCCTAATTTTGTATCTATATGAAAAAACTTTTTAATAGAGATAAATGAATATTAATTAGATTAGATGCCCATACTAGTTACAAACTCAAAATAAATTCATTTTACTTTAATAACCCATTTTATCAATGTTTAGGGTTTTAGCCAATTAAGTAGTTTTGCGAAATTGAAGGCATTTTGATTCTAAATTAACATATTTTTATACATAACTAATAGTATATGTTTTCTTCAAATGTTCATCCGCATATTTTCATTATAAGCTTCAATACACTTCTTGGTTGTTTTGTTGCTGATTATAAAATAATAAATTCAAGAATATCCAAACACGAGCCATCAGTGTATTCCTGGATGTTGAATAACTAAGTTACTTTGATAAATTTATTTGCTTTCACACAAATAAACTATGATAAAGAAAAAAACAGTAACGACTGAGTTTGAAGCCTTTATCCTGAATTTTAGATCGAAGAACCCCCAACTTCTTTAAAGAAAAAAAGGAGGAGCAGAAGCTAAACAATTACCCCTGCCCTTTTCCGAAATTACTCCTTAAGCCACTATATCACGCAGTCCGCGTTGCGCAAGCTTTCAAACCTTTATAAACTCACGTCCCCTGCACACCCGCCAATTTCCTTCATTTCTCCAAAAACATTTCGAGAAACTTCAGCTCAATTCTCCAAATCTCTCTATCTCTCCATCAACTCTTAGTTCTCTCTACAGAAATCAGGCAAACAATGGTGAGCATAGAAGAGATATCATCTCGGAAAATGCTTTCTCAGTTCAACTATGCTTTGATTCATTTGCTAATTCTACACTGTCACTCTAATTTTCTATCAAATTTTACAGGTTGTGGCTCAGAAAGTGAAGGAATCAGAAATTACGGAGCAGGACTCACTCCTCCTAGTAAATTACTTCTTAACTTCGTCCTTTTGAAGTTTTTGTTCTCACCTGCTAATTAACTATGGTCGTGCGACTGTATATTTGAATTTTGAATCTGTTCCTAAAACATTTGGAAGAAACTCAGTTCTCTGTGACTTAAATTTACTTTGAGCTATATTATATTTAAACAGGTATTAATGAACAGTAACTAGCTACAAGAGCAGTAGAACACGCAAGCATAAAGTCTAGTGTAGCTATTCAATTGCAACTGATCGGAATCATAGTTAGTTTGAGCGTTGACTACATCTTCAGCTTTGGTTATTTTAGATTGTTTTTAGATATCTTTGTTAGCGAACTTCTGGTGCTAAAGTTCATTTAACCTGATCTAAATAACTTGTGAGATTTGAGATGTTAACTTCATTTAGTATCAAAACTTTGAATTATACTCTGAAATTGTATCGACCTGCCGTAATCTATGTTATTTATGCTATATTGACCATTTCCCGAAATTATGGTTATCCATTGCTAACTTCTCTATGCTTAAATATTCCGGTGAAAGTCAACACTAACATTTTAGGGTTACGAACACACAAACAATATACTTAGTGCTGTGATCCTTTTACTACTGAACTAGTCTGGGTAAAATCATAGAGAAGTCTAGGCTGTAAGTTCAAAGTTAACAAGTTCTCATGAAATTAACTTATGAGTTTATCAGCTGTTACAATGTCATAATCTATATTGTGTTTGTCTCTCTGGTAAATTTGCCAGTTTGAATTGTCACTTGATCTATTGGTCAGTTAATCGAACTTTTGACATTCCTGATCCTTCATGGTTTTGAGTTGTGACTTTTGTCAGGTGTCATTGTACTCATCTATTCCTTCTTGGTTTTAAAAAACAGACAAGGAACCTGCTGCGCATTGCTTTATTCAACATTACCTACGTCAGAGGCCTTTTTCCTGAGAATTATTTTAGTGATAAATCTGTTCCAGCTTTAGGTAACCTTTTTCTGCTAAACTTGTGATGTTAACAGTCTCTTTCAGTTCTCTGAGCTAATTCAGTGAATGCTTCTATCATAAACAGAGATGAAAATTAAGAAGCTCATGCCCATGGATGCTGAATCACGTCGACTGATTGATTGGATGGAAAAAGGCATGTGGTCTTTGGCTAGTCTGCCATACTTTGTGTCAAAATTTTATATTCTATCCTTTCGGTTCTTTACATTTCTTTGTTGCTTGTAGGTGTTTATGATGCATTGCAGAAGAAGTATCTTAAAACACTCTTGTTCTGCGTGTGCGAAACAATAGATGGACCAATGATCGAGGAATATGCATGTATGACAACAAGATAAGATGGTTGCGTTTGGACTTTAATTATATTGTCATATTATTGAACTGATTAATGATATCACAGGCTAAGTAATTTTGTCAGAATAGTATGGCTTGAAATAATGAAAAAGCTAAATCATAACTGTTCTATGTTAATTTTATATCATTTCTGAAACTATAATCTTGGAGCTTGAGATAACTTATGCTTCTCGTCCTCTACTTGCAGTTTCTTTCTGTTACTCAAACTCTGACAGCCAAGAAGTGTCAATGAATATCAATCGCATTGGAACGAAGAAAGGAGGAACATTCAAGTGTAACTCAACCACTGAAATAACACCCAATCAGATGAGGTAGTAATATTGATATCATGAAATTCTTGTGTACTGATTCTTCTCATGCTAGTGATTTTGGATAGCTAGAACCAGTGAGTTAAGTAGTATCATTGTTTCAGGAGTTCTGCTTGTAAAATGGTCCGTACATTGATTCAGCTGATGAGAACTTTGGATAAGATGCCAGAAGAGGTAAAGAGTTATGGTATTCCTTAAAGACATGAGTCATTGATCAGTCGTGTTTCATTTATTTTGAAAATTTATCTTGTTTCTAAATTCAAATTTTCCTTTTTTTCAGCGAACTATACTGATGAAGCTCCTTTATTATGACGATGTTACTGTATGCCCTTACATCAACTTTTTGTCCTTTCCTAACTTCCTCTACACTTACCATTTTAACATTTTACTCTCAAATGTCACTTGGCTTGTTAATTTATTGGTCAAATGAAGGTTGGTAACAGATTTGCTTGTGTGCAGCCTGCTGATTATGAGCCTCCTTTCTTTAAAAGCTGCACTGAAGAGGAGGCTGTTAATCCATGGGCTAAAAGTCCTTTAAAAATGGAGGTTGGCGATGTCAACAGCAAGCACTTTGTATTAGCTCTGAAGGTATGGGGCAGTTATTGCAGGAAGAAGGATATATTTAATGTTAAATCAATTCAGATTACGTAGTTTTTGCACAGGTTAAGAGCGTGCTTGATCCCTGTGAGGATGAGAATGACGATGATCAAGATAATAGTGTGAGCTTGGGAGCTGATTCATTTCCGGGAGATGACAGTGAATCTGATAGTGAGGTAGAACATTATTTCTCTCCTCAATTGTATGTAAAGCTTGACTGCACTTACAATCCTCTCAAATTTGTTTGCGGGACTAAAATCTTTGAAATGATGATATATTTCAGTTCAGTCACTCTGACGATGACCAATACATAGTTGCGCCAATTGGTAATACATATGTCTATACTTGATGGATTTGTGTATACATTTCCTTTCCTCAGTATTTCTGAATCACATTAAGTTTAACTAAGAAATGATGTCTTCACAGAGAAGCAAGATGCTCAGGATAATGGTAATATGGCTGATGAAGGTACTGTAAATGCTGCCAACTTTCTGCAGTCCTGCTGGACATAGTTCCAAGTACTTCTAATTTGCTATTTGATTTTTCAGATGATACTCAGGATCCAGCAGAAGATGAACAACAAATTGATAGGTTAAAGGACTGGATCAACTCATACCACCTTGACAGAGTTGAAGTGACTGATGTTCTCTCTCATTTCCCAGACATCTCAGTGGTAAAAACTCGGGTGTTGGTGGTCATGTAAAGTGCCTGTTTCTCCCATAATTGGTCAGTTTACCTAATATTCTGTTCTGGTTGCAGGACTTGGTTGAAGGTAATGGAAGGACCTCTAATAAGGACATGCTAAACCGATGCTTTGTAAAGGAGACTCTTGATCAAATAATATGTCCAGTTCCTAAAGTTTTGGAGCAAAAAAACCCATAAAGAAAAAGCTAAGATGAATAAAGCATCTTTTTCTATCAAATTTAAGTAGTTCTACTGTTTCTTGTTCTTTTCATTTTGATTTCAGAAATTGTTGAAAAGCTTGTTAAGGAAGGCATGCTTTCAAGTGTCGGCACAGACTGTTACATCATTAACAAGCAAAAGGTTTGTTAACTTTTCCTTTACTAGTTAATATTTCATATATGTATTTCCTCCATTAATATATCCTTTCTGGTATACCATTATTTCAACTAATTCTCAATTGTAGAAATTCAACTATGAGTTCGACATTGTGAAAGAAGAAATTGACGGCCAACAATACCCCAAAAGCAGCCAATTGCAGCATGGCAAGAATGAAGATTACATGTACATGAAGGTGAGACTTTTCATATTTTCCATTGCCCTGATGATATCTAAGTGCGTGTGCTGTATCCTTCTCCAAATGTGTTTGAAGCTGCTTTTATTAGTATTTTCTCATCTATTCACTTTGTGTATTTATCTATATATATAGACACATGGATTTTGAAATTGTTCACCTACTTTTTGCCCTTTTTCATTCTTCTTTCTGGAACTGGCCCATTCAAATAGAATTAAATGCACGTGGTGGCAAAGCGGGTTCAACTGAACCCGCTTTATCAAAAAATTATACTGTGTATATGTATAAATTACGATTAAAGCTGCGTAAATTTTGTTTAAATATTTTATTTGAAGCCACTTGACATCTACTATTTTACGACTAAAGTTATGTACTTCTAAGATTGAATCCGCTTGCATAAAACCCTGAGTCCGCCACTGGGTAGAGCAGGTCATTTTTGTACAGAGTCCTGTCATAGAGTTTGCATTTTCTTCGTTTCTACACGTTGTGCGTCTACCTTATCAAGTTAAATGCTGCTCTATGCATGCCATCCCCACCATAACCCAAATCGATGAATGTTTCTATTGCTTTTATAAATGGACGCATCCCAATATTATCATCAAATGAAAAAAATATAAGTGATTCAAGTAGTTATAAAATGTGAAATGAAGGCTATTGATGTTCTTAGACACTGCATGTTCAGAAAGGTAGTCCTGATATAGAAAGTAGAAGTACTTTGGACTTCAATTTGATGGAGATCAAAGGGCTCAAGGTGGTGTTGCGGAAGCCAAATGTATAGAGTGTGAATAAGTCACAACTACTATACCAAAAATTAT